ATAGGGTTTTGGGGCCCAATGTACTATATTTAGACTAGGGAACCCCCAACATGATGTTAGTAATTACTTAGGCCCCTATATGAAGATGTGCGGTTTAGGGGTTTAGGGTCTGGGTGTTCAGAGTTTAGGAGTGTTTTGGGAGGTTTAGGATGTAGGGGTGTAGGGGTCTAGTTTAGGCTTTGGGTTTAGGAATTTCGGGTGTAGGCTTGTGAGGGTCATTGGCTGCTTAGGAAGGTTAGGGTGCGAGTTTAGGGCTTAGTAGGGTTTAGGGAGGGTGGATTAGGGCTATGGGTTGGTTTAGCATTTGCGGCCGTGGGCACGCAGCCAGCAAGCATCCCACCAGATGTGGATAGCTCTTGGCTGAGAGAGCTTCCCAAGAATCTTTGAGCCCTAAAACCCTAAGCCCTAGAAGGTTTAGGTTTCGAAAGCAGGCTATGTTCATCAGTACAGCTACAAGGCGATCACAAAAAAGGCAATGTCCACAGAGTCTACCCTAGTGCCAAGCTGCTGAGCAACGAAGAGTGCGGTTTAGTGAGATTCTAGTGAGATGCTATACCGTGAACGGGCCCAGAGCCCAAAATCCTAAACCACGTGCAGCTGGAGTTCTAGTCGCCATTCTAGTTCCTAGGCCCTTTCAGTGGGAGTTCAAGAAAGCAGGAGGAGGAACCCGAAATTCCTAAGTATGATGGTACCCTAAACCCCTAAACCCCAACCCTAAACCCCTAAACCCTAAACCCTCTGAAGAGCCACGCAAGGCTGCCACTTTCGTTACCGAATTCCGAGGGCTCCAGCCAAATTCTGCAAATTCGCCTCTGATGGGCCTTTGGGGTCTTCGGGCCTTTGCAGCAAGGAAGCAGCGACGCCGGGTCTAGGGGTCTAGGGGTGTAGGGTTTAGGGGTCTAGGGTTTAGGGGTCTAGTGTTTAGGGTTTAGGGGTCTAGAGTTTAGAATCTGCGTCACTGGGCTTCAGGATTGCTACAGTCGTGCCCAAATTTCACGGCTGGTTCAGCCCTGTAATTCTTGAGGTCGGGGACTGTTGAGATTTTCGTCGATGAGAACAACCAGACTTTAGGGTGTTTGTAGCCCATGCACCTTAAACCCTAAACCTTCAACCCTAAAGCCTAAACCCATGAACCTTAAACCCTAAACTCCCTAAACCTTAATCCTAAACTCTAAACCCATGAACAACCGTAAACCCTACACCCTAAGCCCTAAAACCATGAACCTAAACCCTAAACCTTAATCCTAAACTCTAAACCCATGAACCTGAAACCGTAAACCCTAAAGGGTCCTGCAAGGCCACGGCTTGGGGCTCAGGACTTTCTGAAGCGGCCCTTAAAGGGCTTCAGGGTTTAGGGTTTCGGGATCTAGAAGGGTTCTGTGAGGCTTAAGACCTAAAAGTCCCCTAGTACCTTCTATTCTGGGGTATCCTTTAGGTTTAGGGTTCAGGGTTTAGCATTACTACCTCCCAATGCCTAGTCACTAGTCTCTGGTTACTGGGCAACTTGTTCAATTTAGGAAGCGTTGGGTTCTTGTTTCTGTGCTTGCTACTCGACGAAACCCCAATCCCTAACCCTGAATCACAAAGACAACGCTGCTTGCAAAGACCTGGAATGGGGGACCGCGTGGCTTGCTTTCGTGCGGAAGGTCCTGAAAAATCAACTCTCGATGCAGCCCTTTGGCGAGGCTGCACTTGCAGATCCATGCCCTTAGTAAGAGTAGGGCAGTAAATTCAATATGGAATTAGACGTAATTGCATATCGGTACAGTGGCCCTGCATTGAACCCTTCTTACTAATTCCCCCTCTCCTTTAAGCATGGCCCGTCTCACCCTGACTTTAGCAAGCCGAGAAGTTGCACATAACCTACGAATCTAGCCAACGATGGTCTGAAATCTTGATTTGAGGAACTTCCACATTCTACCCACGCGCAGCAGCATTGTTGTGGCAATGACGGGTGAGATGAAAGCGGGGATTCGCCAAAAAGGGGCCAGCATGATTCAACAGGCAATCCTGTGTGCGATGTGCAGGGTGTTGTGTTTCCGGTTTTTACGGTAAAGTAGCAGCACTCTAGATACAACACATGGTTTCAGCTGTACTCGTAATTGATGGTCCCGAAGCTACTGTGATGCAGAAGTCACGAACGATGGATGATCGTGGAGATGATCGTGGTGACGTTCTTTCTTTTCCTAGGATCCGCAGTGGTACACGTTTGTCCCTTTGCGTTTGGGGTTCCCTTGTTAAAAAGTAGCGAAAGCGTACCCTCATTATTCAGGGGCTACTGCAGAACCTAGTTTCCTTGAGATGATGAATGATGTTCTTCCATTGGTTCTGCCAATAAAGTCAGAGACAATATGGTACTGACTCTTGTCATGAATTGCCGTGGGTGTATGGCTGCGAGTACCATACGAAGCCGGTCATGCCTCAAGTGCTTCTCGCCAGTTTTTGTTAGGGCGATTCCTTCGAATGTCGCTGGTCATGTTCGGTTCTTGGCTAGTGGTTTAGGGTTTAGGGTTTAGGTTGCAACGTCAACAACAGTCTACCACGGTTGCAGGGGCCTTGTAGCCGGAGCTTCAACACAGGACCCTCCCCCAAACATCTTTCTCCCAGACAAACACTACTGCAACAAGCCTCAAGCCGTGAAACCCTTAATAAGCCCATAACAGCTGTCAACCCAAAATCATCCTAAACCCAAAGAACCCTAAAAACACTGCTGGCCAAAGGTTACAACCCAACTGGGGCTTTTCAGCCTCGGGCCAGATGTCCAATCTAGAAACCTGGATATAGAGCTCTGCTACGTCTCGAGGTTCCTCATTATAGCATTTACAATACCCCCTAAACCCTAAACCCTAAACCCTAAACCCTAAACCAAACCCTAAACCCTAAACCCTAAACCCTACCCATGAAGCTTATTCAGGCCTTTCTCTCGGTCAGGCGAGGATCTTCATGTCGGAGCTGCAGATGTCGCAGAAGCATGCAGAGCTCGGGCCCCGTTTGCAAGTATCTTAGGGTTTAGGGGATTTGGTGTTTAGGGGTTTAGGGTTTAGGGTTCAGGGTTTAGGGTTTATTTCTTTTAGGGTTCAGGGTTTAGGGTTTATTTTTTAGGGTTTAGGGTTGAGCGTTTAGGGTTTAGGGGTTTAGGGTTTAGGGGTAATCTCTCATGAAGCCAACGAGGTGGTGGTGGTGGCGGCCGCGGTCACCAGCAGCATGATGATGAAGGAAGCGAGGATGACAATGCCATGCATGTTGATGCTGGCTGTGATGTTGATCCAGGATGGTTCATGATGATGATGGTGATGATGGTGTTGCTGAGATGATGGTGATGGTCATGGTGCTGATTACCACGGTGATGGTGATGGTGATGGTGATGGTGATGATGATGGTGGTGGTGATGAGGGTGATGGGGTGCTGATGTGGATGAGGACGAGGATGATGTTTACGTCAATTGTGCAAACGACCAGCGGTCACGCTTCTCGTTCCCTCCTCCTGCAATGTCTGGGACATGGAAGAAGGATCCCAGAGCCTGCTGCAATGGACAAGCTGATGAGGTTTTGTTTCCGAGCTCTTGAACCGCGACCTCCAAACCTCTGAACCTCGAAGCATTCGAGCCCCAAACCCCCATATACTCCTACACGTTACCCGTTGAACCCTATACTAACGCATACGACCTAAATTCCGCAGAGCCCTAAACGCAGATAAACCCAGCATCCCCAAAGCTCATTAGCAATACAGCCCTAATCCCTAAACCCTAAGCCAGCCAGAAGCCCTGCCACATTGTAGCCCTAAACCCTAAACCCTAGCCATATTGTCTCAGGTGCAGCTGCGTGTTGGGGGAGTCAGAGGGCAGGTGCCCCCGCGGAGCGGGCATCGTGGGAGTCCGGGCCCGAGCGTTAATTTCAAGGTTCTGTCAGGGTTCTAGAGGGGTTTAGGGGTTTTTAGGGGTTTAGGGGTTTAGGGTTTGGGGTCGAGCGTGTTTGAGGGTATACAGGGTTTTGTTACAGATTCGCGTCAGGTTTCATGAGGGCTGTGTAGCGGGATTAGGGTTGGAACGACAGGACAAAGGGGCGTGTTTTTTGTTAATGGTTTCGGTGGCTCTAAGGGTTTAATGTATGCTTTGGGGTGCAGCGTCTTCTTGCTGCGATTTGCAATCAAAAATTCTGAGCCTCGAAGCCTGAGCACTCAGTTCTTGCTTTTGGCCTTTGGTGCCGTATGGAGCTGCCAGTAGCAAAGCCCAGGGTTTAGGGTTTAGGGTTTAGGGACAAACCCCTAATAAGCCCTACATCCTCCACTCCTGAACCCTATAAATCCTGGGCCGGGTGTATATTTAGAGCTCTGGAGGTTAGTCCAAGATACCTCGCCGAAGCCATCGATGCCAAAGCAGAACCCCAAAGGCCCTAGGGACCTTGTGGAACTTTATTTGGTTTAGGGTTCACAGTAGGGCTTAGGGTTTAGGGTTTAGGGTTTAGGGTTTTGTTAGGGTGTTTTAGCGCTTTGAGGGTTTAGGGTTCAACTTTATTGGTCGAATGCCCTCAGCCGTGTATCCTTGATTGCAGACTGTTCAAGAACTTTTGTGAAGCCCTGACCCAAAGAAGCGACAAACCTGTAAGGGGCGTCGCGACAGGACAGGAGTCAAAGAGGCAGGCACTTTTCATGTTACGCTATGTTATTATGTCGTATTAGTTTATATTATGCTATATTATGCATTGAGATGTCATGATTCTTATCATGTCATACGATGTTTTACCATGCAATATATTTTGCAGTATATACTCTGTACCCGTTAGAAACTGAGGACAGCTTTCAACCTGACGACTTCTGCCACAACCCCATTCCGACGATCTCTACGGTGCGCGGCACAGATGGGGTTGAAGGCACGGCTTGCAGGTCATGGAGTTTAGGGTTCAACATTCTCCCTTAATAACAGGCGGGTTTCCGAGATCATTGCCCAAGAGCTCGGGGCGTGGGCTGTCGAGTTGATCCTGTTGGGGCCTGTACCTCTTGACAGCTCTGCGGTCCATCTACACTGTACAAAACAGGCGACTGAAGAGTAGATTGCGCGAGCACCCTGAGCCCGTTCTGGTTCAAGCCGGCCTTGTGATTCAGCTCTGCTCCCACTTCGAAGTCATGGCCTTGCCTATGAAGTCCGCTATGAAGAAGGTGATGAAGTCCAGCGCTATGAAGGCCAAAACCACCATGAAGGCCAAGGCAATGAAGGCCATGAAGAAGAAGGCCGTGTCCAAGATCGCAACGGGCAAGCGCGCGAAGTCTGTCGTCTTCCGTGGCAGCAAGGAGAAGACCTCCGGTGGCCTCGCGAAGTCCCAGCTGATGAAGAACAAGCGTGGCAAGGTTGTCAGCAAGAAGATGCACGCCAAGGGGAAGACGATCCAGAAGTTCGTGCAGCAGTGGCTCGATGC